CCTCTCCCTCCTCCCCCCTCCACACACACACACTGATCCAGTCAGACAACACACTCAGTCAGAGCAGCAGTGAAACTCCAGAGCAGAGCAGAGAGAGATGCTACAGACTGAGACCAACACCGTGAGTCCTACTTTGTCGACCTGTCGTCCTGTCTTTTTCTCTCCTCGTCTTCCTTCCTGTCTGACTCTCACCTGTCTTCCACTCTTCTCTCTCTCTGTGCCTGGGAAGTTTGGTTTTTTTTCCCCCAGAATGGGAGACTTTTAAACTTCCCTCTCAGTGTGGCAGCCATCGTCTCCCAGCTCTGCTCTTTCTGTCTCCCTCCCTCTGCATATGGACAGAGACAGAGACAGAGACAGAGACAGAGACGAGTCCCAGACCTGGAGACTTGGTCTGCTGTATGTGTGAGTCTGTGATGCGTTTGTAGAATCTGGAGTCTGGGGTTTGCGGTTTGAATCCCAGTCACAGTGTTCTTGAATACACGAGTAGACAGTAATTGATGTACTGTGTACTGTGTACTGTGTACTGTATACTGCACACGGACAATGGACACATTATGAACAGGAGCAGGAAACACAGACGTCTCTCTGGAGACTTGGAGAAGGACTGCTCTGTTACTGAACGGACCGGGAGAAAATCTGGGCTTTGGGTCTGAAATGGAATCACACTTTTATGGAAAAAAAAAAATACTATGTATGTACAGTATATGTATGTGTATATATACATATAGATAGATAGATACTTTTTTGACTCCAAAGGAAAATTAAGGAAAATTGAGGGAAAAGGACATATATGTATTTATACATATATGTCTATATATGTCTATATATGTCTATATATGTCTATATATGTCTATATATGTCTATATATGTCTATATATGTCTATATATGTCTATATATGTCTATATATGTCTATATATGTCTATATATGTATGTATTTATACATATATGTCTATATATGTATATATATAGATATACAGTATATGTATGTATATATGTCTATATATGTATATATATAAAAATATATAGATATACGTATATATATAGACATATATGTATGTATATATAGACACATATATACATATATGTATATATAGACATATATGTATATATATAAAAATATATAGATATATGTATATATATAGACATATATGTATGTGCTGTATATATGTATATGTATATATATATATATACATATATATATATACCGTAAATGCAATGACAACGTCAACAAGTCATAAACAACAACAATGTTTAACTTTAACTAGCTTAATCTCGTGCGGTTACAGACGACCACACCTCACACACTTTCTGGTAAATACAGAAGTTTCCCGGTCGGCTGCTGCAGGACGACTGACCCGAGCTGCTGATTGGTCACCTCTTATCACTGACTCAAAGCCTATTGGCCGTGGCTACGCTGCACACACCGGTTCAAACCGGTCAACGAAAAGGAAGGGATACAGGTGTGTGTGTGAGTGTACTTGTTCTTCTAGTCTGTCAGGACTGTGTCAGAACAGGTGACTGGTATTCATTCACTTCATAATGGGAAGTGACCTGTATGAGTGTGTGTGTATGTGTGTGTGTGTGTGTGTGTGTAAGGGGGGGGGGAGTGAAGTGGAACAAATCTATCTGGTTCAAACAGAGAGTATGTAGCACCGCACCCTGTCTGTGTGTGTATGAGTGTTACTGGTCCATATATACTTGTGGGGACATTTCACAGGAGTGAGAGATTAATCTGAATTTCCAAATTGTAATTTCGGAGTTAGGATTAGGATTAAGATTATGGTCAGCAAATGGTAACTCTACTGGTCTCCCTTGTTTTTGTTCTGCACATTCACACACATACACAGAGGTACGCACACACAAAGAACAACTGAATAGAGAAACTAAATACTCTCTCTCTCTCCCTCTCTCTCCCTCTCTCTCTCATCTACAGCAGTTGCACTTGGTTTGATCTCACATCCCTCTAAAAGAAAAACAGAACCTGACTCAAGGAAAGGAGTGAAGGAGTGAAGGAGTGAAGAATCACACGCCACCTAGGGACAGAACCACATCACAGCACCTGGAGGACAGAGGCAGGATGCTGGCTAAAATCCTGCAGGACATGTGGGTCGAGCCGGATCTGCTGGAGGCCCTGAGCGAGGAGCAGAAGAGGATCCTGTACCTGAAGATGAGAGAGGAGCAGGTGCGCCGCTGGAGAGAGAGGGAGGAAAAGGAGGAGAGAGAAGTGGGAGAGGACGCCAGGCCAAAGAAGGGTGAGGAACAGAAAGTAGTTTTAGGTTTGTGTGTGTTTGTGTCTGAGCTGGTTGTACTGGTAATACTGCAGTAGCACAAGTATTTATAAAGTATGTTTCAATCACATCACTATTATAATGAGGAATAATAATTACAGAGAAGAACTGAACAGGAACAGGAACAAAAGAAATGATTGTTTGTTTTTTTTGTTCCTGTAAAACCTGAGCTGAGTTCCTGTAAAGACAGTGATTGACAATCAAATCAAACACGAGGCTCGACTCCGTCACGCTGCTCCATCGTGTTGTCGACAGTAACTGAAGTATGATTCACTGTCATTTCTAAAGATCACAATGCATTAGAATATACATTTTCATTCCAAACTACGCCGCCCTAGAGGTCAGTCCTCAGATAAGACACCTTAACTTTACTGAAAATATTCTACTAACACTAATCCTTTCAAAGTCGCTACTATTGTTACATAACAACAGCAGAACATCTTCAACTGCCTGCGATAGCTTTCTGTCCCCCTGTGGACTGCGCCCCTGACTTTGAGAACCAACAGCTATGTCAAATTTCCCACGGGCGAGTACTTCAAGTTCTTGTTCCATGGCTTAGCAGAAACATGTAATTAAATTAAAAATACAGATTGACTGTCAGTGTTTCTCACTGTCAGTAATTTGTTTTCTTTAAACTTTAAACTTTTACTCTCATCTCATTCTGGACTGTCTGTCACTGTCAACACCTTTTTTTTTTTCTTTTTTTTTTTTAAAACCAAACGTGTGCAGTGAGACACAGACACACGAGCCGTGTAGTAACACCATCTCAGATGACCAATCTCATTAATGTCTTTCGATTACACACAAAGAGTTGATGATGGTCCGGTGTCAGCGATAGTGACCCGTGACCCGCTCTGCTTTCTGCCTCCCCCCGCCCCCCCCAGTCCATTTGCAGCGCTCATCAGATTCTGCCGGTCGATTTGCACAATGGTGGATTTATGTGTGTGTGTGTGTGTGTGTGTGTATCACAGCTGCTAGAGTCTTTACTGAGGCGTTGGGCCACTTTAAACCACGTATCATGTTCTGCTCTTTGTGTTCCCAATCTCTGCTCTATGTCACCTGAGAGCTATGTGTGTGTATGTTTTCTCTCTCTCTCTCTCTGTGTGTGTGTGGGGGGGGGGGGTTGTTTTATACTACACACACACAGTCCAGTGAGCTCTGGATGATCAGGGCGTACAACAGGCCGGTAAATCACACACAAAAAAATTCACATTCAGTTTCTGGTCCAGGTCCAGGTTCTAACGCTAACTCCAAACTCAATCTCAAACCTAATGTCCCCACGACGTAGCTATAGTTAGCGCACATGTGCACACACACAGACACACACAAAAACTATTTCAATCATATATAATCATGTTCCAATTTTCAATATGCAAAAGCATAAAAACGATCTTGTCTTATCTACCAAATATTTCACGACCAGCCTGCAGTGACTCTTCAGACCCTCTAGGGGTTGCAAACCCCATAATTTATCGCTTTAATGAACAACTTGACAAATTCTTTTGTCAAGTCACACCATGTTGATACCAGCACTAGACAGTACATGTACAGCGTGTACATGTACACGCTGTACATGTTTCCTTACATTAGCTGTTAGCACATACCATCCTGCAGCCTTTTGTCTCAGGTGTGAACCTGTCAAGATTTATGGTCCACATGTCTGTCATCTACTCGTTAGGCCTGGTCCACAGCTGTTATGTCACAGCCCATATGGGATTTTAGGTGAACAGGTGAGGCCACGCCCCACACGGTGACATCACAGCAGTGGCCGTACCTGTCTGAGGTTACGTGTAGTCATGAAAGTCACCTGATGACACAGCATCTGTCAGGGACGTAAACAGGCGTCGACATTTATTAGAAGGAAATATACAGGAAAAAAGATCCTGATGAATCCAACTCCACCCGGTGAATAATCAGATCGATCATTTTTATAGTTTTAAGTCAAACTTCTGACGTCACAATAGATCATTTTTATAGTTTTAAGTCAAACTACTGACGTCACAATACAGTTAATGTATGACAAATAAAAGGAAAAACTTCGGCTGAAACACAGGACTCACTCCTCGACTTTACTGTCAATGCTTTTACTTATAGAAGAGCACCATCTTGTGGACAAAACTATGAACAACAGCTCCGGTCTTCGGTTTTTCCCGACAGCTTTCATTCGTCGCTCTGTCTCTGACTTCGTGTCACTGCATTATCTGCACTTTTGTTTTTTTCTAACGTGATCAAATCAAATGGAAATCAATGGGAATGCAGCCGTTAAAACGTCACCGTCACAAAGTCCACTCACGTCAACAGTGGTCACTGGCGCCCCCACCTGAGCGTCATGTGACCGTAACCCCAGCGTCATGTGATCGCATTCTTTCAGCAGCATGAATACAAATGTGTCCCGGAGCTCAGTGAAGGACGGCGGGCTTTTCTGTTGAAATTCTTTACGGTCACGTTTTTTTTAAGAGATCATTTTTACTTCAATTTTAAATTCCGACAAAAACAACCAAATCTGACGTCACCGGTGGTGACACTAGGTGACGACACCACGTACAAACAAACAACGTAACGATCTAATCATAACACAGTTAACTATGAATGACAATAACAATGTTTTTTTCGCTTTGTTTTCGTGCAAATAAAAACAAATCAATCAGGTAAATCTTCATATTTAATGAAATATAATTTTATAAAACGTTTCCTGAACACGAAGTGTTTGTGTATTTATAGATTGAAAGCCGGTTTTGGCCCACGGGCCATAGGTTTGACACCCCTGTTGTCAGCAGTTTGTCTCGTTATCTGCCTTGAAATACTTTAAAGATCGTGGTGTTTATTGACGGTCCAAGGAGTGAAAAAGAAATTTTAAAAAAAAATCCCCACAGACTGCGACACCGCTGACAGCAGCTCAGAGAGGAAGGATCCGTGCCTCCGCGTGTTCTGTGACCCGGTCGTCCCGGTGCTGCTGCAGCACCTGAACATGAGAGTCATCAAACGACCACGGTCTATTCTTAGTCAGACAGTACGAATCGAAGGCCGAGCTTCCTGCGCTTTGCTGACACGTTGCTGTCACCGCGGTGGTCCATGAACCTCGTCTTGTAAACCACTCCTGATTTCAGCTCCATTGTTGTTTATATCAGAACACTGCCAGTGAGCTGCTGCCCTGTGATTGGCCGATCCGTCTGTCAGTCAATAAATCATGATTTCTTTTTTTTCTTCTTTTTTAATTTTTCCTCACTAGACTCCAGGAAACGGGTGAAGTGGCTGCTGGGTCGAGACGGAGACGTGAGCGTGACCGTCATCGGAGAGATTGACGAATTCAGATCCTCCAAACTTCTCCAGAACAACATCAACAACAGGTAGACGCCCAGTTGCCCTCGATGTGACTGTTTTTGAATATAATATAATATAATTTATTTTTGTCACCCTCATAATCTAGGTTTATATGGTTAAAGTTGTTTTAACTTGAACTTTGAGATGATTTCTCATTAGTCAGTCACGTCCTTCCTTCTGATTGGTCGGTCCAGCTCGGCTCCCTGTCAGTGTTGTTCACGGGTCACACGCCAGACTCCACCTGATTCTATTAGAGCAGGTATTTCCAGAGTCTGGCTGTGGGACCGGATCAAAGGTCTGCAGGACTGAAAAGTCAGGTCTTTGTCTTCCAGACTCCACAGTGATAATATGAATGGCATCCAGACAGTGGACTTTCTGCCAGGAAGTCAGGCCCGAGAGCTGGGCTTTGGAGGGGAACCGCAGCTGCCCCTCACAGATGTGAGTGCGTGACTTCACTTGTGTGTGTGTGTGTGTGTTTGTGCGTGGACGTTTACTCACACGATGAACGTTTCCTTCCACGCAGAATTACCCGCCGTCGCCAAACGACCAGACGTCATCTGAGGAGGACGTGGACTCCTGCAGTGCCGATGACCACCTGAAGGACCCCGTGGAGGACAGCGACAGTGAGTCAGGCAGCAGCTTCGACAACCTCAGTCACTGGGCCCCTCTCCGCAGGCCCCATCCTAGTGGCCATGGCAACCAGCCACCGTTCAAAGCCCAGCTGTCGGACACAGAGACGGAGAGAGAGAGCGAGCGACGGGACGCAGGTGAGCGGAAAGAACCGGACACAAACGTGGGCTTCCTGTTTTCATGTGGTTTACGTATATTTTTAATCTATTTTTAATGAATGATGAATGATTTTAAAGTATGTTTACAAGAATTAATTTAGCAAATGTACCATGGTTTCCCAAAGACTGGGTCGCGACCCTCAAGTGGGTCGCAAGAGATTTTTTTTGGGGGGTCGTCTCGCATCATGTTTCCCAGGAGTTTACGAATAATGTCTATTGACTTGGGTCGTGAAGGTTTGTGACTTTTAAAATAAGGGTCTCCAAAAAAAAAAAAAGTTTGGGAAACAGTGATTTAGAGTCTGCAGGTATTTTATTTTGAAAGGGCCTCAAATGAAGGTGTATGTAATGGATGGATGTAATAATTCAATTGAATATGATAAACATTATTATGTTTTCATGCACATGACCTCACAAAGAAATATATATAGAAATATATAAATTATATATTTTATTTATATTAGACAAAATGATATATATAAAATTACACATATGTGGTTTTTTGTATGTGTTTTTAAAAAGTTACAAAAAAGTAGCCGCCCCCTTTGTGATTGACAGCTGGTTCGACCAGTAGATGCCCCGTTGACAGGCGCCATGACAACAACGTTAGAGTTTAACACCTCACCCTGTATTGAGTGTAAAAATCTCTAAAACCACTTTTCTTCTGTCTTCTCAGGGACTGACCTCAGTGGGGGTCAGAGGGCTGAATACGGGGGGATTGTGGCTCAGCTCAAGAAGACATTTTCACCTGATCCTCCCAGCACAACACCTGCCAAACCTGCTCATATGCAAAGGAGACACGCTCCGTTGATGCGTTAGCCCTCCAGGTGGCTCGCACTGGGGCTAGCTTCAGTGTTCCACGCTAACGGACCATGCTAGCCTGCGCACGTGGTGACACAAAGGTCTGCATCTTTAACCTGGCTGGCGATCCGGCGGTCGACCTTGTGACGTGGAGACGTGACGGGGGCGGAGGGAAAGAAAAGACTCCACAGATTTCTGTAGTTCAAATGAAGCAGCTTTGATGTTGCTGACTTCAGAGGCATCGACAAAGCTTTTGTTGTTCGGTTCCTCGTGTACAGAGAGAGGAACAGAGGTTCACACAGAACGTCGGCTCTGTGTGTAAAACAAATTACACTTTTCTTTGTTGTTGTTTATTTTATATATACCTTTTTTTAAATAGGTTTGTGTTATTGTAAAGATTAAAACGGTGTTCGAGGTTTTTTATCGGGAACAGAAACAAAGACTAACTCTCACCTTTGAGCTTGTTTTTAAACTCTGCGTCTTGTCGCTTTGTTGTTGTGGACTCATCGATTTTCACCAGCGTGGGAAACATCGTCCTCCCGACAAACGGCAGCCATTATGGTGGAGGAAACTGTGGATGAAATAAAAGCACTTTATTTCTAGTGAAACATTGACTGTATTTTCTGTACATGAGAACCAGGATCAGAGTTTCTCAGGCTTAAAGTACCACAAAAAGATACAATTTACCTTTGAAAAAGTTGTTTAAATCCTAACAGTAGATTATACAGACAGACTTTAACTTTTCACTCTTCCAGTCATTAAAATGTTACTGTTTTGGTCACTTTTTAAGCGGCAAAATAGTAATGAAAAAAAGAGTAAACTTCCTAGATAACAGTGAGATTAGTGATGGTTAAAGTTGTTTTTTTTATCTGTGAAATGATAGTATAAAGTTAGGGGTTTTTATTTCCTTGACTAAAATGTCACTTCCTGTTCGGTGGAAGGACAAGGTCATTTTTTTTTCTTTTTTTTTTTACAGTCTATCATGTGAGCGTACTCGTCGAATCCTTGGTTACATAATGCTTGAGTCAGCGTTGGTCACAGTTGCTGAATCATCCCAGGCTTTGAACTCATTTACTCATCAGAAACGATGTTATTATTATTTAATAACCGGTTACTGCTTGACCAGCTGGTTACACATTATTCTCGCTGGTTCACCAGCGACCTGATGACACTTCACTCTCTGTTTGTTTTGCTGCTGAATGTGAACCTGATTTTGATTTTTTTTTTTTTTTTCGTGTGTGAAAATGAAGGTGGAGGCAGAAAAAAATGACTCTCTAGTTTCTCTGTTTTGGTGTTAAATACCTGGTTCGTGTTGCACCGTTGGGGGAGGATGGGCTCGTTGACAGGGGTAAACACACAAGTTTGTTGATAGTGATCACTTATTCAACAAGAGGGTGGGGGGGTGAGGTTGGGGGAGGAGAGGGGGAGTCAGAGAGAAGAGGTAGTGGCAGATCACAGAGGGCAAAAAAACAAAAAAGAAGCTGATTAGCATGTGGTT